AGAAGTGTCCATTCTTAATTAGAGGCAAGCTACTTTAACTCCTATATCCTTTGCTGTAGCTGTAGGTGAGAGGCTCCTGCCATTTCAGAATTACCAGAGTTACAGAGTTACTTCAGTCATGTAAGGCCTTCAAACAGATAATGACAAACAGTTGAAAGTAATTTCCAGACATGGTTGATGTCAGCCTTTTTGCTTCTGGCAACCACTCCCTAAGCTACCCAGTCTTCCTAGTCACTGCTGGGTAGCACTTCTTCCCTACTTTCAGCAAAAATAAGACCTCTCTGATTTTGAAGACTGAAGGGAGACTTGCAGTCAGCACTGCCCTCTTTGAATAGTTCATACCTGATTTCAAGCAAAGTTGGATCAGGACACATGTGGTAAACAAGCATGGCAACTGATGGATTCTACCAGCTAGAACAAAACACCAAGTTTAAAGGATTTAATTGTCGTCACTGAGATCTGCCTAAAGAACTTAGAACACTATGACATGTCCACAAATGCATTATCTGTGAAATAAGGTGGGTGTTAGCTGCAGGGATCAAGCAGCTGCGTGCTGATGTGGTGCATTGCTGGGCTGCCCAGCTCATAACTCTGGGATATAAAGTGTTCCACTAAAAGCAAAAAGGGCTTCATATGCCTTAAGCTTTAACTGGCCTTCAGTTAAAGGAGATGATTAACTGGGTGTTCAATAACTAAGATCTCACAGTATTTCGTTTTGGAAACATTGATGAGTCAAATCAGGCAATGTTTATAAGGGTTATAAAATGAGTAATTCTGTGTTTTTTGTAAAGCAGTGACTTCAAAAAAAGGGATTCCTTTTGCTTGTCTCTGATTTAGAAAGATCACAGATCTTTGTGAAACTTTCTGGTTTATGTACTCACAGAAACTGTACACTAACAAGCACTTTGATATTTTCTGTCCCAGTTTGAGTAAAACTGCTTGGAAAAACCAAAGACTAGGTGGGGAGAGCAATGCTGGGGTTTTTCAACAATTTATTCTGTTTTGGTAAATTTACATATTCAGTACTTTTCCTCTTGCTGAGTTCCTTGGTGAAAATAATTTGTAAATATCATGATGCACTTAATAGTTCTTACAAACAAACAAACAAACATAACTTTCACCTACTTACCACGGACAGAACACTGTAAAAATTGAAGTTTTGCAACACCTTTATTTTTTATTGCTTTAGCACTAATTGTGCATACACTGTTGGTGAAAGACTATTACTCTGATGCAGTTCCTCTTACACTGAAAGACTAGTAAAAGTTTTAGTCATCATCATTAATACTGTTTCTGATCACACCACTCACATATATTTTTACTTTAAAACCTAAAGAAAAAAGTACTTATTTGTGCCCATTTTTGGAACTAAATCAGCTTACAGTGCAAGAACATTCATATCCTAGCTCTTTCTCAAAGACTAACCTATAGAACAAATTGGTTTGTATAATTGCCTATCTCACCACTTGTCCTTTTCCAAAATATCTTTTATTTCAATGCCCTATGTACTTTCTTATTTTGTGCATGTTTTGCAGTACAGAGTTCCATTTAAAGGTTTCATGCAGTTGCAATGCTTTTGTTTTCCGTCTTCCAGAAAAGATGAGCATAAGTAGTGTTCATGCACTGACAATAATTCTTGCATAAAATAAAAGTAGCACTAGGTAAAGATTAATTATTTCTTCCTCTCTCCCTGTGGGTGCTGCATATGTGTATGACTGCCACATTCTAGTACAGAAGAAAGAAATTAATCAGTGTTTAAATTGCAGATATTCCCTATACAATAACCTGATTTACTCAGTCTAAAAAGCAAGGATTTTTCAAATCTGTCCAATCAATTTGATGCTTTAAACAAAACTCATAAATCCAGATCATTTGGGTTTTCTGTGTCATCTTGCTTTGTGTTCTACCTTGCATTAAAAATAACGATGACTTCTGTTGCATAGTTCTATAATTGGAATATAATTATGTCATAGATTCATTATTTTATTAGAAAAATGAGGCTAGGCAAAATGGGGGGTTTGCCTGTTCCTCTAAATTTATGTCCACTGATGACATTATTTCCATTCTCAATAAGCACTGAGGATTGAAGTAGACAAGGAGTGTTTTTAAGGATTCCTTTACAGTAAATACTGAAAAATTATATTTAATTCATCCAGTTAAAATGTCATAACCATGCATTGTCATGCATTGTTTTCTATTGAACTTGGCAAATTTGTACAGTGAAACTGTTTTTTCATGCAATTTTGGCAGGCAAAGGCCAAGCAATTATTGTAATTTTGAAGAATCTGTGATCACAGAATAGTTATTTTATTCTTAAACTAAATGTCCCTTTACAGAAAGGCATATCTTGGAAACTGTTTTACTGACTGCGTCATTGTCTGACTTAGCCTCGCTTGACTAATTAGCATGTTTAAGGATGAAGATAACTAGATGCAGGAATCAATATCTCTTTTTTTTTTTTTTTTTTCTTGATTGGCATTCCATTTGTTTGCAGACACAGGGAGGAACCAATGATTTAAATCTTTCCAAGCCATCATTTTTATTTTGTAATTTTTATTTAACTGCTCCATTTTGTATAGCAAAAACAAAGGCAGATTTCATTATTACCAAACAGGACATGAAACATGAATTACTTTGCATCTCAACCAGTGACTCTAAGCACCTCTCCCACAGCCCTCCTAAAGATACCAGGTACTGCCCAGGTGAGCAAACCCCCTGCTGCACCAAAAGCAGTTAAAATCTCATAAGAAGGAAGGGGAAGACCTAAATGTTGGAAAGGGGGAATTGTCGGCAGAAGTAAAAGTGGAAGAAAGATGATGGAAAAACCCCAGGATGAATCTTACAGTGATAAGGGGGAAGCTAATGGGGGAAGGTGCCAACAAGAACAAGACACAAATGTCTACCAGAGCCCATTGAATATCAAGAGTCTGTACCATAATTAGAAGTTCTTAGACCCCACCTTAATCAAGACCAGAAGCTGCAGCCCTAAGAATCTGGACACGTAGAATCATAGCAAGAAAAGGGGAGATTCTGGACAGGCAGAACCCATTTCAGTAGCTTTGCTTCTGGCCCATGTTTACTCTGGCTTTTAAATCTAGCGTACACAAGATCAGAGAGAGGTACCCAGTGATCAGGACAGGGGATGACATAATTTTAGGTATTTCTTCTGTAGTGGTCTTTACCTCATGCATGATACAAAAGAAGAGTGAGGCCTGGTAAAAAAAATATTTCCTTTGTAGTGGCACTACTTGGAAGTGACCTGAATCCATCTTAGCTGGTGAGTTGCTACCTGTAAGTTATTGGTTTGTTTTAATTTTTCTGTGTCTGTCAGCCAAATGTCATTCAGGATGTTAATTCAAAATGTTCCCCATAGGGCTGAACTTGGAGCCCTGTAAAAAAATCCTTCACCATGCTCTGCTTACTGCTCCTTGCCTTCCTTCAGAGCTATAGTTTGTGACCCATCCTTCACAGAATCACTAGGCTGGAAGAGACCTTTAAGATCATTGAGCCCATCCCTAAACTCAGGAAATCTGTGATGGGGAAATGAATAGTGGAATTTTTTTCCTCCTGAGCATATAACTTTCTTAATTTATAGTTTCAATACTCTATATGAATTTAAAAGGTGTCTCAGGATTTGAGCAATTTAACTGAGTGCTTCAGTGTTTCTTTCTAATGCTAATATATTTATTTGAGGGTTAGCCCTCTAAGTATTTCTATGTATGGATAAGTAAGAACATGTTTGCCTGGTGTTGTCAGCTTCAGTAGTTCATTACAGCATGAATCTATATCAAATCCAGACATTTGGTTCAACATCTGTCATGAAGTGCATGTCATTAAAATGTTATTTTGTGAGAGAAAATATAACTAGGATGTGTTTATGTATGACACTGATCGCTGTTCAGAGAGAAAGGGAAAGAGAACGAATTCATAAATATTTACCTCACTTTGATCTATTATATTATCAAGATTCTTATCCAGGTGAAGTGTACTGTAGGAGAAACAAGATTTTTTTTATAGAAGCAGCGTTGGCTGAACAAGTGCTAGTAAAAGAAGGCAGGAGATCAGAGTGCCCTGGCAGTGCATGTGGTGCTGGGGAGGGTGGAGGGTGCTGTCCTGGACACTGTCAGCTGGCTGGGGAGGCACCACCTGGCAGAGACAGTGCAAGGGGCTCGCAAGAGCGACTGCAAGTAACGTGGAAAAACACCTGTGATTTCGTGACTTGGCCTATGATGGGAGGGTCACACAGAAGGCAAAACAAGCAGCAAAGGGAGTATATAAGAGCATGTGCTGAGAGACTCTGAGCTGATTCAGGATCTGGACACAACAGTCAGATACTGGAGCTGGGGGTGGGTGGATTCCCGGAGCAAGCAGGTAACTGCTGGGAGAGTGGATACCTGATCCCAAGAGGGAAGAGGAGAGCCTCTCCTCCTGCTCTGCCACCCATGCAAAGCTAATAAAGCTGTGGATAGAAACAATAACCTCAGTCACGGTCATTTTCTTCGCGAGGTGCATCCTAGTTGCCCCAGGTTTTAAGATTCAAGGCGTACCTCAGACGCGTTTCTGGACTGAGCGAGTTCCGATTCAAACGAGTCCGATTCCCAGTCAGCCCCGAGGTTACATGCAGACTGTGCAATAAGCTGGCAGCTACACCTGGCGCCAGGCACCGCTCTTCCCTAGCACGGGGACAAAGCCTGTGTGCTCAGCGCTGCGGGCTCCCGCTGCTGCGGAAGGGCAAGCCCTCCGCTGCGGGATGGCGGAGCGGCCGCAGCGCTGGCCGCGGGAATGCCGGCCTGTCCCGTGCCCCCGGCAGCCGGCATGTGCGCGGGGAAGGAGCGGGAGCGCGGGCCAGGAGCTGCCGCTGCCCCGCGGGGACCGGCCCGGGGCTCCGCACGCTCCCCCTGCCCACCCGCAGCGCCTCCCGCGAGAGGAGCAATTCCTCAGCTACTGCTCTTTTCCTCCTCTCCCGAGGCAACGCGAGCGCTGCCCACATGCACCCGCACCTGCCCTCCAGCGGCGCCGGTGTCCCCGGGGCTCCGCACCGCAGTGCTGCCTGTCCCTCCCTGCCGCTGGCAGCGCCTCAGCCGCTCGCCCGAGCGCTCTCGCAGCGCCCGGACGTAGGGAAGCTCCAAGCCCACCACCCGAGGCCCCTCGGGCCCCGCGCCGAAGGGAAGAAGCGGCCGCTCTCCCGCCGGGCCAGCGGGTCCCGCCCCGCCGGGAGGGGGCGCCGCCGCCCCGCCCCGCGGCCGCGCGGGTCGCGCCCCGCTCCCGCCGCCTGTTGTTGTCGGGGCTCCCGCGGCCGCCGGGGGGCGGGGCCGGGGCGCGGCGACCAATCAGGCGGCGCCGCCGCCGTCGCGTCGGTGGCATTCGCGGCCAGAGCGGGCCGGGAGGGCGCACGCACCGCGAGCGCCGCGCCGGTCCCCGGGCGGGCGGAGCGGGCGCGCGTCGCGAGGCGGATCCCGGCTCCGGGGAGTTGCGGCCGGGACATGGCGGCGGCCGCTCGGCGGCCGCGGCGAAGTCCCTGGGCCCTCCTGTGCCTGGCTGCGGCCGCTCTGCTTTGCCCCGCGGCGGGCGGTGAGTGTGCGCGGGTCCGGGGGCCGCGGGAGCGGAGGGAGGCAGCGGGCGCGGCGCCGGCGCCCGGGCTGGGGGTGTGGGGGTGGGTGAGGAGAGCGGCGGGGGGCGGCGGGTCCCCGCC